CAGGCTGGCTCATCCTGGGTACAGGTTAAGTCTGCAGGGTACTGCAGGCCCCTCCTCCAGCAAAGGGTTGCTGTCCGTCCGGCTACAGCGAAGTCTTCTAGCCATAGGGATCGCTTTATGTTCTGGGTAGGCTTTTCCGCCTGTGACGCTTTCTGGAACATGGAGCCCCAGGCTCCTCTTTCTTCTGTGAGTGTTCCTTGAAGTGTCCCCATTTCTTGTCTCAGTTTGCAGTGACACTGGGCAGCAAAGGGCTGGGGCTGGCATTAAAGTTAGATAGAATATGCCTCGGTTCTATGACAGTCTGGCCTGAGGCTTCGTCTTTGGACGGGCTTAAGATTAAGGTTTGTTTCATGTTTGGGGTTCTTCCTTGAGCTGCTCTCTGCTAATAAGGCTTGGGTGTGCGCCCCTTGAACCTTGATGGTGGTTGAACTGAGGGTGGGTGGCTTCCCCAAGAGAGATACTGCAGCAGCGCTGAATGACTTCATGATCCATGGTACAAAGCTGGGCCCAGGTTCAGGTAGAAAGATCAGGGTATGGTTTTGGGGTTGATATTGGCGCTTGATGGTGGCTGACAGAGATGGTATTTTCTGGGATCACCCAGCTTATGGATGTTTGGGGGGGGGGTGTGTGTGTCTTTGTTTTGCCTGATCGTCTAATCCTGAGAGAACTGCTGACATCTGTGGTGCCTCCCTTTATCATACGTGAAAGATAGTGTCTTAGAGTTCTCATCTTCTTTTCACCTTGGTCTCCTGTAGCCTTTGATCCTGGAAGGGGCTGAATTCTAGGAAGTGGCCAGTCACTGATTTGGCAAGAGATGAGGGACTTGTATAATATCTAGGATGAGAGGTAGGAGTATTCTTCTGCCCTCCATCCTAGGATTCTGGGAGTCACCAACTGAAGCGCATTGTCCATTTCACCCAAGTGTGCTTGCTCAGTTTGGGTCAGGCACATCATTGCTGAGTGGGCATCTGTGTCATCTGGTCCTGATGTAGACATCTGCTCTTACAGTAATACACCATCATGCATTTCAAGGTTACCGTTGTTTTAGTTAGGTTTCTGTTGTTGTGATAAGACACAGTGACCAAAAGTAACTTGGGGAGGAAAGGGTTTATTACAGCTTACGTATCCCAGTCGCACTCCATCATGAAGGGAAGTCAGGGAAGGAAATGAAGGCAGGAACTGAAGCGGAGCCCACAGGGGAATGCTGCTTTCTGGCTTGCTCCACATGGTTTGCTTGGCTTGCTTTCTTACAGAACCCAGAACCACCTACCCAGCGGTGGCACCACCCATAGTGGCTGGGCGTTTCCACATCAATTATTTAATAATAGTAAAAGAAGCGCCCCACAGACTTACCTATAGGCCAGTTTGATGGAAGCATTTTCTCAACTGAAATTTCTTCTTCCTAGATGACCTGGCTTGTGTAAAGTTGACAGAAAACTAACCATCACCCAACCAGCCAACCCTGTGTAATATGGTGTAGTCATGAGATTTACTATGAACTCTCTTATCTCAGTTCACCTTCCTAATAGTCTCTTGTGAAGTTGATTACTGGACCGTTTTTTACAGAGACTTTTGGAAACCAAATCTCAGAGGGTTAATGAGAAAACCTACCCTTAGACCTGGGGACTCAGGGTCTGGGTTACCCACTGCCCTCTGCACGTAGTTACTCGAAGGACATTCCTTACGTGACAGTTGTAAGTTACTCTGTCTCACTCTGGGTCTTTGGGCAGAGGCCTGCACATAGGAGTTGTATGGAGCTCTCTGCCTATCCGTCCTCCATTCCTTCCTTAGGGTAGTGTCTGGTAGACACCTTTGTCATGCTTCAAGAGACCCTTTCTATCTCTAGGCAGCCTCGCTTGTCTTTGTGAACCAACAGACCTTGGGTGGGTCTCTTTTCTCCTCACTGTCCTTCTCTATTTCCCGTTTCTGTTAGTGGACTCTGCTCTTTCAGGCAACCGCCAATGTGCACAAAAACATCCTATGTATATATGTTCGCAGGGACGGTCTATCTAAGGTTTTTGGTAGGTGCCTCGGGAAATGCTTCTCACATGGTGACGTCACCTGGAGAGCTTGTTCAGTGTAGGTTCTGTGTCTGGGCCTGGGTGTGGCCTGAGCATCTCCACTGGTCATCAGCTCAAGGTGATGCGTGCTCTGCTGACCCTGGCTCTACTCTCTATAACAGGTGTGGACCAGCTTGGCGGGCAGTGCTGCAGGCCAAGGCCTGCCCACGGCATAGTTTTCGTTTTTTAAGTTAAGGCCAAATGTTTCTTACTTAAAACTTACTACTTTTATTGACAATCCAGTGGCATTCCTTACATTTACAGTATTGTATGCCAGTTTTGTTAAATCCCAAAATGTTTTCATTGCTCCAAAGAATACTTCCGCTAGAGTAAGCAATTTTTCTGTGTTACCCTCTTCTCCTAACCTGTCAGTTGAGAACATAACTCCTTTGCATTTACTTGTTATTGCTGTTTCATATCAATGGAATTACGATATGACCCTTCCTTTGTGTGTGGCTTCTTTTACTTATTGTGGTTTGGAGCTTCATCTGCCTTGAAGATCACTTCATTCCTTCTTATGGCTAAAAAGTATTCTAGTGTCTGTATGCATGGTACTGGGCTCATCCATTTGCCTGTTGGTGGATATATAAGTTGTTTCTACTTTAAAACACATACACATATATGTGTATATATGTTTTAACAAACAAACTACATATATGGGCGTGTGTGTGTGTGTGTGCCTGCCTGTTTGTCTATATGTGTATCACATGCATACAGGTGCCCTTGGGGGCCAGAAGAGGGTACCTGATTCCCTGAAACTGGAGATACAGATGG